CGGCGCCACGAACTGCGCCCGACTACGTGGGAGTCCAGCGACATAGCCATTACGCTAACTGCTGGTTCCCTAAATGATTTTTTTTTTAAGTGCAAAAATAGGGCCAGCAGGTGGTGTGGTGGTTCAGGTGTTGGACTCCCACATGGTGGACCACAGTTGAGTTCTAGACCTGGCAGCTTGCTTTCTCACTTTCCCTCTTTTTTTCTCAGTGAGTGTCTCTCTGGTCAAATTTAAAGTAATAAATAATTTAATTAAATTTTTAAAAATACACCAAAAAAAAGCTTTGAAGAAAGAACTGGACAAATAATTACTAATTTAATGTGAATTATTATTATTGTTGCTTTTTAAAAAATTTGCTATAGAACACACATGTTCACCATAGAAAGAGAAAGTGAGAAAGCAAGGCGTCAGGTCTGGGATTAGAATCACAATCAGTCATGTGGGAGTCCAACACCTTAGCCACCACACCACTTAACCCCCCCCAAACTTTATCTTTAAATTTTTTAAGGAATTATTTTAACTTTATTTACTTATTTTTAATTGTGACCAGAAAGGGACAGAGTGAGAGTGAGAGAGAAAAAGTGAGAAAGCCAGTCGCCAGGTCCGGGACTAAAACCACGGTCAGCCACATGGGAGTCCTGCGCCCTTTACCACCACACCACCTGCCAGCCCCCTAAACTATCTTTCTCAAGTACTTTTAGGTTCATAACAAAGTTGGGCCGAAAATAAAGATTCCCATACACCCCCAGTCCCAGTTTTCCTGGAGATACCATAGTTAAAAACAGCAGGATTTTAGTCCATGAATAGACAAGCAGATGAATGGAATAAAAGAAAAAACAAAACAAGTCTAGACAAATAGGGACCAGGTGGAAGCACAGTGGTAATGCAAGTGGACACACAGGCCTGTGTTCACGTCCCAGGGGCTCTGAGCAGGCTGGATAGTTATGCATACCTGTGACCAGGCTGGCTGAGATGGGTGGATTGCAATGTGAAGACTGGGATCTTTCTCTTATTCTCTCTAATAGAAGAAATAAATAAACTCAAAAATACAGCAATGAACCAATGTGCATTTAGAAAATTAGTATGTAATAAAGGTAACCTGAAATTATTGGCAAAATTACAGGCTCTTTAGGAAATTATGTTAGGACACTTTATGCTATACATTTAAACACAGAGTAAAGCAGAGATTTAAATACAATTAATGGGGGCCAGCAGGTGGCATGATGGTTAAGGCACTGGACTCCCACGTGGACAACAGCAGTTCAAGTCCTGGACCTGCGGCTTGCTTTCTCACTTTTTTTTGCTTTCTTTCTCTGTCTGTCTCTGGTGAGTGCACATGCCCTAGAGCAAAAATATAAATAATAATAATAGGGGCTAGCAGGTGGCGTGGTGGTCCCTTTCCCTTTCTCTTGCTCTCTGCCTCTCTCTGGTCAAACTATTAAAAAATAAATAAAGTTAAATATCCTTTTAAAAATAAATACAGTTAATGAAACCAAACAAATATGAGAAGAAAATGTGTTTTTTAATAACCTGAGTATCGGGAAATTTTTTCTTTTCCTTTTTTTTTTTTTTAATTTGACAGGTGAGAGCTGGGGTCAACAGGTGGCATGGTGGTGAAAGTGCTGAATTCCTATGTAGCTGACCTCAGTTCAAGTCTTGAACCTGGTGGCTTGAAAATCACAACAAATAAATAGATAAATAAATGTTAAAAGTTTTTTTTTGACAGGGGCTTTGTGTGCTTACCAAAAAAAGAAAGCATCCTCCATGGGGAATGATCACACAGTAATCTTTTTTCCTCAATTTCTCTCTCATTTTGGGTTTTGGGTACACACACACATGCAGCTGGTGTGTTTCTAAGGCCAGTCAGCCATGTGGATTCTAGATTCCTTAACCACTATGCCATTGGCTGACCTAGGAAATCCTTTCGAGGGACTAAAAATTCAATTGTAGGGACCAGCAGTTAGCATAATGGCTATGTCGCTGGACTCCCACATAGTCGACCGCAGTTCAAGTCCCGGACCCAGTGGCTTAAACTCATGCCGGGCGCATGTGCGTGCGTGCCCAAGATCCCGAGAGGAGAATGGAGGAGAAGGGATTGCGGCGTGGCCATCCCCCCTGGGGGGTGATTTCTCACTTTCTGTCTCTCTGTCTCTCTCTGTCTGTCTGGCGAGTGCACACACCCTATAGCAAAAAACTCTCCAAAAAAAAAATATATATATGTAAAAAAAAAATTCAATTGTAGTGGGAACCAGCAGTTAGCATAATGGCTATGTCGCTGGACCGGGCGCGTGTGCGTGCGCGCCCAAGACCCCAAGAGGAGAATGGAGGAGAAGGGATTGCGGTGTGACCATTCTCCCAGGGGGTGATTTCTTGCTTTCTGTCTCTATGTCTCTGTCTGGCGAGCGCACGCGCCCTATAGCGAAAACCTCTCCAAAAAAAAAAAATTCAATTGTAGTAA